CCCCAAAACTACCTTTCTCAGAAAAGGTAGATTAAAAAAGAAAGAAAAGGTAGATTGTAAGAGGAAAACAATCTAAAGCAATCTGGACAGAAATGACTCTCAGTAAATGATTTATAGCTCTGTACCTTCCAAAATGTCTGCGTTTATCAAGAAAAATGCCCAATTTTAAGTGCCTAAAAAAGAGCCAGTTAGTTCACAGAGCAGAGTTGAATGGCATAGAATCCATACAAAGGCTGCCACTAGTTTACAAATAAGCCTCATTTCTAGCTAACATTTGCTCAAAGGAATAGTAAAAAATACATTAACAGGCATATATTTGGAGAGCGAGGTCTCTGGTGTCAGGCCAGCCGCAAAGGAGTTCCCAGTACCAGCCCTGAGGGTTACTGCACTCTGCTTCCGGCAATCCCGCTTCTTCCACCCAGCTTTGACCCTGCAACTGTTCAAACAAGCTCCAGCTTGGAGCACAATGGTTCCCATGGTGATAGAAATTCCACAATTAAGGGACGGGAGTTAAGAAATGATTCAGATGTCACTTATAAATACTGCTTCATGTGGATTTAAAAAAATCCTGAGACTTGACTTTAAATACTATACAAGATAACGGGGGGAAATCCCCAGTGAAGATATGTTACTCTCAATGTGTCATTACCTTGTTCTACTGGAAGCAAAGGACAGCTAGGCAAACTTTTGCTTGCTATAGGCTGACCTCCGAACATTAAAAGCAATGTATGAGTACACTGAGAAAGAAATGGCTTCCAAAAAGAGAATGGGGTGGTAACACTGGTTCAAGGACATCAATCTCTCAAGGGGGCGTAGTGGCACACGCCTATGATCCCAGCCCAGGAGAGGCTAAGGCAGGATGTTAGTTGTGAGTTCATGACTGTCTGAGTTTCAAAGTGAGCTCAAGGCTATCCCAAACTGCATAACAGGACCCTGTCTCAAAAAGACATCAATCTCACCAATTTTATTTACACAACTAGGATTTCATTCTGGAATATTAAAAGACATGTTGAAGGGCCGAGGAGACAGCTCAGTAGTCTAAGTGTCTGACTGGCATACGCAAGGTCCTGAGTTTGATCCCTAGTACCGTGAAACAAAAAACAAAAACAAACAAAAAAAACCCCTAAAACACATGTTGAAATTATCACAGATTCCATTTCATGACCTCCAGAAGAAATTAGCAACCAAGTTATTTAACATGAACATTTTTTAGTCAAAATTTTCAGGAGAATATGCAGATGGTAAACAGCAGACAGGGAGGGTAAGTATGTGCATGTGTTCTACTGGTCCCTCAATTCAAAACACACACTCACTTTAATGACGACACATTTCCTTTTTGGGGGAGCAAAAGCCCTCTTACCACAGCTAATCAGATATCAGCTGCACCTGTGGAATGGGTTGAAAAGGCAGTGAAATCAATAAAACCAGAGAAAAATACTCCAGTTATAAAAGCCAGTCACATGCTGATTTACTTCAGAGTCAATAATAAATCTGAAAAGGCAGGGTTCTGCTAGGTTCTGTACACAAACTATTACTAAGCAACTGCCAACCACACACCTTCCTGACATCTGGACAAACTTTAAAGATCATCATGATAAATTCTCATAACCCAACTCCAAAGGGGGAAACACAAGTAATATTCCCAGTTCACAAATGGTAAAACCAGATCCCTAAAAGCAATATGCTTACCTTACTTATATGGCATAGACCCAGAAACAAATCCGGGAGTAATTTATGTGAATTTCCGTAACTGGGATGGAGGCCATCAAAGCCAAAGAAACACCTTCGCAGTTTATTTTCACTCTTACTCTGTATTGTAGAGGTCTTTCAAAACTGGCATATGATGAACTCTTTGGGAGGGTCTAGGCAGAAGGTGATTCTACCCCTGGATCTCCCGAAGCTGTGACAGGATGTCCTAATCAGCCTGCGTGCACACAGGCACACATGCTCTCTCATGGTGGCTCCTAATCACCATGTGCCACTCTGAACAGCTGCAGAGGTCTGAAGGGAATTGGCAGAAATGTGCAATGATGCGCTAGCCACCCCGCTCCAGCCCCCGGCAGCTACTGCCCTGCCTGCTCCCTGACAGCACAGCACATGAACGTGCACCATCACAACTGATGGGGCAAAAGACAGGCAAGTGCTTTCATGTGGTAAGTCAGGAAAAGCAGTATGCACCAGGAAGGCTCCAAACCAGCAGAGCTGAGCTGCATCTGGCTTCCTTATGGAGACAGAGTACTTATCATTTCTACGATGTCACTGTGGGGGACAAAACTCAGGCTCAGCATAAATTGAATCCAATCAATTCTGTTGCACAAGAACCAATAAAATGAGGTTTCTTCCACTATGAAGGGCCTAACTGCTTAAGAACTGGCACCATACCTGACACCTGAGGTCCATCCTTTTATTCTATGATGGACAGCCTGGCATAATACCTTGAGAGCAGAGCTTTGGGCTGAATGTCCTGGACCATTCAACATGGCTGCAATAAGGTGTGATCTATGTTTTCAGGGATGCGACAGAATCAAAGAAGCCAGGTGGGTGCTACAACACCTGTACTGGCCTAACGGGGCAGGAATTCAGTGTATGCTGTCACTCTAGCCAGGTGACTCCACATGGTTTTCTCTGGAAGTCCACACAGGTGAGGGAATTCCTTGGCTGTTTCTACGCAACTGTTTACAAGTCAGTAAATGAGTGATATGATATCAGCTGGGTGAAATAGAGACGTTAGACATTACATCAGATAACAGGAGATCTCGAAATTGAAAGAGACTTCAAGCCATCATTCGCACTACACTTCATGAATGAATGCAGCATTCTGTCAAGTTTTATACAATGACAAATGAGCCCATTCTCTGAAGGAACCTGAGGAGATTTAATACTCATTTTAGGGAATCTAGTTTGGTTTTTCTACCTGAAAATTAGCAATATCATTTTATATCTAACCTCAGAATCTCATGCTGTAATTTATCATTCTAGGGAGTATGGTATATAATAAAACTGGTTACACTGTTATTTATATTTAATGTATTACTCTGGCGCTAGTCCAAAAGCCAGATCTTTATCAAACCTGTCACAACATCAATAGTTTAGGTAAGGAATGCTAATAAGGCTTTAATGTTTTAAAGGCCAGACAAAAAGACTGACCTTAACTTTCTAAAGTTACAATAAAAATCGAACCAAAATACATTAATTCTTCTAGAATCCCAACTGAAGCAAAGTATGGAAAACATGAACTATAATCCTTCCTTGAAATTTCCTCAACTGCTATCATGGGACTCATTTCTTTCATTTTCTTTATTCATCCACGACAAAAAGTATACATGACTTTTGGAGTAGCAAAGTCAGAAAAAAAAGGAATGTTTAAAAAACTCACTACATTCACAATAGTGGTAGCATATTATGCTCTAAGAACACTAAAAAAAATAATACAAGCTGGAGTAGCCACAGTATTACACTAGACTACAAAGTAAAGTGCTATACAAAAATCCGCACAGGAGCTATGAGGATACTGTGTACTCCTGCCCTTCTAAGTTAGCCCACAGCACCTGCAGGAAAGGCTGGTGGGAATTTAACAAGCCTGAGACGCAGACACAGCAGTCACGCCACAGTACATGCCACACCTGCATCCTTGTCCCATTCTAGGTGAGTCCAACTTCCCCTCCTTTATAGTCAACCTATCGCTCAGAAGCCAGTGAAACATAAAAGCCAGCAACTTTCCCTCACCAGCAAATCCCACAGCCCCGGACTTTTAATGGAGGTGGCTGGAGAGAATAAGACAGCCAAGTGAGTGGAGCTCTGGGCAATATGCAATTATTGAAACTGGAATTGGGCCTGGAACCTGCCCTGGGAGCACTGGCAATCAAACTGTGGTCAGGGCCCCAATTTTAAGCTTCTCCCAAAGGGTGCCACTTCCTGACACAGAGACACGCCTCTCTCTCTTATGAGTGCAATTCCACTTGACATGGAGGAAGAGTGTCATGTGCTGAAAAGGTGCCTAGAAAACAATCACTTACAAAAGAGTTAGGCTAACTCTAACCATTGGCAAATATGTTTTCCTCATCACTTACCTTCTTCCCAATAAGCTTTTTCCGAAGAAATTCCCGGGCCTCAAACATGTAGGGAATGTCATACAGAGGACGTAGTTTCTTGTTCTTATCCTAAAAGCAAAAAAACCCCACACAACATCAGAAATGAAAAACAGAACATAGTCAATAGTTCAGTATGTCGGAACCTATGTGAGATTGGCTATCTCTCAGTATTATAAACATGAAGTGCAAGACACCTAATAAATGGTTAATAAAATATTGAAGCACTTTACTGGGAGGCTTCCCCCCCCCCCCACAGTAAGCTTGCTAGCTGTGATAGTTCATGTCTATAATCCCAGGACTCAGGCTGAGGCAGGAGCATCACAAATTGACAGCCTGGATTATATAGCAAGACCCTTTCTCAAAAAGTTGAAAAGAAAACAACTCACACGAGATAAGCCTGAAAACGAGGAATGAAATGTGTCTAATTACCCAAGACAGAAATAAGTGTTCAACAACAAGAAAACAGCTACATAAATTTTAACACAGAAGTTCAAAAGTAGTAGGACCCTTGCAGTGTGTGTGGGCACACAAAGCACTCTATAAATAAATGTATATATCCTGGACGCAAAATCTTGGAATTGAACATAGTAATAGAAGAACTACTACAGATATAAAATAGCAACACAAAGCAGTTTTGATTAGTGCTAAATTATGTGATTCATACTAAGAACTAAATCATCTAAGAGTTCAGGGAAGTGGAAAGAAGTAATCAAGAAAGGTTCCATTGATAAGCTAGGATTTAATGGAAGTGTGCAGGTCAAGAAAAAACTAGAAAGAATATTAGAGATGAATAAAACAGAGCAAGAAGAGAAGCAGAAATGCACACATGAGCACACATCCTCATGGACCCCAGATTCCTCCCCAAAAAGATGACTGTCCTCTAAGCAATGCTGTTCTCTCTCTGGGGCTGGTGAGATGGCTCAGTGGTCTAAAGCACCTGCTTAGAACAAGCTTAGCTAAAGCACAGGGACCACGGTTCAATCCCCCAGCACCACATGCCAGCCAGCCCTGCTCCCTGGTGGGCTGAGCTGCACCCCCCCACATAAATAAATAAAAATTTTAAAAAAAATGCTGTTCTCTGACAAAAATCTATGTGAAGGTGAGAGAAGTAGAAATCTTTAGACACAAGAACCATTTTTAGAAATGAGTAAACATGAACTGTCAACATATTCCACAGAGGGAATAAAAAGTGGAAGCTCAATATTAAGTCCTAATGACACATATCAGAAGTCCCCAGATGTTTTCCTTTTGTGGGCGTGTGGAAGTAGGGAAAGTATGCTTAAAAAATAAGAGAATAGAGCTTGGGAGATAGCTCAGCAGCATAAGAGCCTGCTTGGCAAGTGCAAGGTCCTGGATTCAATTTCAGGTACTCCAGAAAAACAGAGAAGAGGGAGGGGTGGGCGGAGGGAGAGAAGTAAGAGAATGGGGAAAATCTGAGTCTTCTCTGGGGCCAGCAGAGTGCTGGCTGTTCTGGCTTCTCCACTCACTGCCCTGTTTTCTGTGCCCTAGAGTCCTTGATTATATACTCCACATCCCACATTGCAAGGGTCTCCTGTCCTCAACAATGAGCAAATCTACAGCAAGATATAAACACAGCTAGTCAAAGCAGGCAGAGAATCTAGATTGCAAATAGGTGAGTAGCAACATAACTCAGCACTACAAGATGCAGAATCCAGGCACTGGAAAATGACAACTTGGGTAAGAAAAAAGAAGCAGACTGCCAGGAATAAGGAAGCCAGGAAGTGGCAGAAAAATTAAAAGCTACAGAGAAACCTGGGAGAGGAATTCCTGCTCCTGGCTTCCAGCTTGTGGGGCAGCCCTGGTCTGCAGAAGCAATGCGAGTGCCAGGGTCTCTAGGGGGAAATGGTGGCAGTGGCCTGGGCCTGCAATGCAAGCTCCAGGGGGAGCTCACTGTTGCAATCTGCAGGGACAGTGCGGTTTTACTAAGAGGACTCGCTCCACATAGCAGGCAACAGCTGGACAGGGATCCCAGCACAGAAGACTTCCATATTGCCAAAAAGGGCTTGGCCAGGCACCATCCCAGGAAGGAATGGATCATTTGAATCTGTGACTCAGTGGCTTAGGAGAGCTTCCCATCAGGGTTCCCAGTGTCACCCTCCCACAGTGCCTGAGTAAGAGCCACAGGAGATACTCCAGGACACGGAGCAGACTGGAAAGAGAACACCAAGGGGTTTGTGCTCCAGCCAAGAGCAAAAGCCCTGTCCCCTGAGGTGGCCGGCCAGGCACAGCTTGAGCTGGGCTGGGTCCAAAAGGCCACCACTGAGTGCGAGGGCTTTTACCTTGCCTACCTGCATGAGCAGAGACTCCTCCTCAGTGTGGACATTCCCACAGCTGAGTAAACAAAGGGGCCTTGGGGATGAGGAGGGGTGGCACTCAGCAAGCACAAAGGCAAGAGGATAGGTGAAAAAACTGAACTGCTGGACTCCAATGCTGGGAATCCAGAAAGAAAACCACTCATTCAAAATCACAGAGAAACCATACTTTCTGTTTTTGAACTCGGCTGTTCATTTGTTTGTTTCCCCTTCATTGTTCTTCACTGGCTTAGCTTGGTCTGGGGAATTATCCTTCAGCCTTCCTTTGTGTTGCTATTTATTACCCTCACTTTTTCCTGTTAAGTTTCTTTTTAACCTTCATGCTCCACATTATTTCTCTTTTCCACCCTTTTTCTAATTAATTTTCCTTTTGTATTATCTCATTGCCAGCCCCTGTATCTTTGATAGTGTTGACCATTAAGCTTTAGTAACCTATTTTCCAGTACCAGGGATTAAATTCAGGACCCAAGAGTTTATTCCACTAAGCTATCTCCCAAGCCCCTTTAGTAACCTTTTGATAGTTAACTCTATGTTATTACTGTTGAATTCCTATCATTGATGGAGATATAATTGTCCCATTTAATATGTATTTGCTGTAATCAACATTGGGTTGCCTTAGTGTTTATAATTACGGATTCCTTTTCTGTGGTTAGAAGTATATTATTGGTTATGATATGGCAATATGCAATATTATGATATGGACAATGTTACTATCGCTAATTTGCATGACAATGCCTAAGTACCATAATTATTTCTATTAATGTGTTTTGACTATATACCATCACCCAGATTAAATTAAGAATACTGTTCTCCATTGCCAGAAAACTGAGTGTTAGGCCAATTACACATCTTCCCATCCCAAATTAACAGAGGTGGCTGAATCTTAAGACATGGGCAAAAGACTGTATACTACCATACCTGCAAACAGAAGTGTTTGGTAAAATTTTGTATCTGTTTGCAAAGTACATTGGTGACACACAGGACTGTGGCTATCTTTTTCTAAATCACAGAACAAAATGAAGTTTATGAACTGTACTTAGCCAAGCTAAGTGCATCATTGAAAAGAAGTCTAAATAGGGGCCGGGGAAATGGCTCGGTGGAATAAGTGCTTCCCTGGCAAGCACAAGGGCCTGAGTTCAATCCCTGGTTACTCAAAAAAAAAAAAAAAAAAAAAAAAAGTCTAAAAAAACCACCATACTAGAAACAAAGTTTTTGCAGTGGAAGCACCTAAAAACCTAACCACAAAACTAAACAACCCAGTGGAAATATGAGAGGACAGGGCAAGAAACTGCATCCCAAACGTCCAAGTCCCACAAAGCCCGCCCTGAGTACATGAAGAAGGAGGAAAGTAAAAGCCATATACCCAAATTATTTCAAAGGATAACAGGAAATTAAAAAACAAATCAGATAAATAGCCACACAATTACAATGGGGGACCTGTATATCCCACTGTCACAAATAGAAAGATCAACTGATCAAAAAAATTAACAAAGAAATTTCAGATTTGAACCAAATCCTTAAAAAAAAAAAAAAAACAACAACAACAACAACAAAAAAAAAACCAAACGGAGGGGGCTGGGGAGATAGCTTAGTAGAGTAAGTGCTTGCCTGGGAAGCGCAAGGGTCTGAGTTCAATCCCCAGTTCTGCAAGAAGAAAGAAAAAAAAAAAAAAAAAAAAGAAAGAAAGAAAGAAAGAAAGAAAAAAAGAAAAGAAAAGAAAAAGATGGATTTGATAGGTGTCTGTCTTCCACTGAACAACTTCAAACTAGCATTCTTTTTAGCAGCATGAGACCTTCTCCAAAGCAGATCACATGCTAGATCATAATTTAAGCTTAAACAAATACAAAAAAATCTAAAATTATCCCATGCCTATTATCAGATAATTTTAATTTTTTAAATATAATTTCTAATTTCTAATAAAATTAGAAATCAATGTCAAAGGAAACCAGAGAAATTATACAAACATATGGAAACTAAAGAGTACTCTTTGATATCAGTCATAGAAAAAAAAAAAAA